TGCGCCTGCGCTCTTCACACGCCTCCTGCAGGGCACATTTGGTAAAGTTCGTGCATTCAGGCTGCCGCCAAGCACAGGGAGTAGCACAGCTAAGGAAAAGGGCAAAAAAAAAATGGCGGACGGAGTGGTTTGGCGACCCCCGTGAAATGGTCGTGCGACCCCAAATGGGGTCGCGACCCACAGGTTGAGAACCGCTGAGTTAGATGATCTTGAGTTTTTCTTGAATGAATACACAACACGAATCAAGAGCTGATTTAATTCTTTTTCCTAGTCCAAAACTACCATTTTTTTGTGCCTAGACACCAAATATTTCTATTGCAGCTTCAACATTCTCCACAGCTAGTCAATAAACCTGGATTCTCAGGGTTGATCAAGAAATTAAACCTGTTTTATTGGAAGTTACCTCACCAAAGAAGCCTGTCAGGCCTTGTAAGAGTAAGTGTAGGTTCATGATTATCCTATGTCTTGTTAGAAACAACCTTTACACACAAGTTTTCGTAGAACTTTACTGAACTCTTTTTAATAACAATCAAGACTTCTGTTTTTTTAATGTTTAATATTGTTAAATCTGTGTAGTGTTTCATAACTGCAAATATTGTAAAAATATGTATGGTATTTTTGTAAAATATTTACAATATAATTATTATGCAGTTCTGGAAAAATATTTTGAAAGGTGAAAATTTAAAATTATAAATAAGATTAGGTTTTATTATGAATAAAAAAATTAACAGAATTGGAAGGGACCTTGGAGGTCTTCTAGTTCAACACCCTGCTCAAGCAGAAAACCTTATACCATTTCAGATAAATGGTTGTCTAATCTCTTCTTAAAAACCTCTAGCTTTGGAGCACCTACAACTTCTGGAGGCAAGTGTTCCATTGATTAATTGATCTAATAGTCAAATTTCCCCTTAATTCTAGGTTGGTTCTCTCCTCAATTTGTTTCCATCCATTGCTTCTTGTCCGGCCTTCAGATGCTTTGGAGAATAGGTGGACCCACCCCCCTCTTCATCGTGGCAACCCCTGAGATATTGGAACATTGCTATCATGTCACCCCTCGTCCTTCTCTTCTCTTTAGACCAGACATCCCCATATCAGCAAATCGTTCTTCATATGTTTTAGCCTCCAGCCCCCTAATCATCTTTGTTGCTCTTCTCTGCACTCTTTTCAGAGTCTCAACATCTTTTTTATATCATGGCAATCAAAAATGGATGCAATATTCCAAGTGTGGTCTTACCAAGGGATTATAAAGTGGTATTAACACTTCACATGATCTTGATGTGCTACTAACTTTACTCTGCTCAGATCCATCCATCCATCCATCCATCCCTTGACTTTTGTAAACTTTGCTTACTGGGCTGTTTCAAACAGTAAAAAGCAAAAGGGTTGACTGCTGAGCCCAGCACAATACAGTCCACTGAAAAAGACTCAGCAAATAAAATTCGGTTCTGAGTGGAAACTTTGAGAATGGCAGCTCTATTGTTCACTTGACCAGATGCTCCAAATTGCCTGCAAAGACTTCTTCTGAAGACATCTGCCAAAGCCTCTCACAATGCACTATAACCTGCCTATTCTGGCATTCTTGCCTAGTTGTTCAGAGAGATCAACGACCTTTTTCATGTTTACAAACTGAGCATCTGAACACAAGCTGGGCACTGATTCAGAGAAGCAAAGCATCCATTCCCAAAATATTGGGGCACTGAACAGGCAGTGGCTCAACTGCTAATTCACACAATTTTCTTGCCAGGAAATTAAAAAAATAAAACAAAGAATCCCTGAAAAACCAAAACCTTTGGCATTTGGTGTGACTAACGTATATTTCCTGTCATGTGAAGGAAACACAGCCACTCCTACCTGGATCATCAAATTGTTCAGGGAAAAAGGCCAAATTAGCCTGACTTTCCACCCTCTGCAAACAAGAAGCCACCCTCCACAACCCACCTTGAATGTTCTGAAGAGGACCCACTGCTAGTTCCCTTAGAGTTCAAGGCACATTTATTTTAAGCAAGAAGTTGGGGGTGCACTAGTATTTTTAAAAAAATATTTATGGTCTCTTGAGGGCAGATATGATAAAGATTGGGAAGCAGGAAGGGTCTCAAGTATCTCAAATCTTTGCCTCTCCTGAATCCGTAATATCCCTGGTTCCAGAGCTGGCCCTGAATCCCACAGCTCAAAATGAGCACTTTCAGGCTGAACTTCAGTGGTGTCATATTTTCAGTTGTGGGGGTCAAGGAAAAGGTGAGAAGTTGGGAGGCCAAATGTGGTACAGTGCTGTTGACATGCAACAAAAGCACACACACACACACCATTTGAGAGAATCCTCCAAAGAAGATGAGCCTCCAATCCCCTGATCCAACACTAGCATCCTGGTGCCCAATTGTAACAAGCCCAAATCCCACCACCTTTGACAAGTGCCACTCAAGAACACCTGACAACAGAAAGGACAAAATGGCATCCAAGTGGCAGCTTCCTAAACCTCAGTGCTTTAGGACCACAAGGAGGCTGAACTGCTTACCGGAATGAGCCGTATTCAGGGGGATGCTGGTACCTCATTGTGGGCCCATCAGAGCGTCCTTGCTGGGGCAGGCGGTAGTCACTATAGAAATGCCCAGGATCCAGTGGCTTACAGCTCATGGACGGGCTGGACACATTCTTGTATGGGTACTCGGGAGGAGGCCCCCTGTGCTCTAACCCTTTCACCCCGGGCTGCAGAGGGCCTGCCCCAGAAGTCTTGTAGAAGTCATTAGTCTGCTGGGAGGAGAGAGGGGAAAGCGGGGCACTGGTGACAGGGGCATGGGCCTTCACGCCGCTGGTGGCCAGGGACAGCTGCATCAACCGCTCACTCAGGGAGCGGACGTGACCCTGCTTGAGATCCTTCAGTCCTTCGTCCTGGTGGACCTTCCCTGGGCTCAGCCGCTGCACCGTGGGGCGCCCTTCGGTCCTCATCTTCTGGTTGGAGACGCCGGTGACATAAAACGCGGCTCCAACACTCGCATGTGGTTGACCCCTGAAGTACTGAGACTGAACTTTGGCTTCTTCATAGGTCGGGAGGTCCTCACCTGTTTGGAGCCTTGACGAGAGCTGCTTCTCCATGATACTGTTGTCCATTTGAATCTCCTGGCCCTGGGGCTCCTGGCGAGCAACATGGGTCCCAATGGGGTGGTCCTGGTTGCTCAGCCCTTCGTTGGGAGCCCCGGGGCCCCCACTGCTGGCAAAAGGCAGGGTGGCCTGCTGGTGCAAAGCAAAGAGGCTGCGGCTCTCGTTGGGATTCCCATATCGGAGCTGCTCCTGCAGCAAACGCTGTAAAACTGTCGTTGAGGTTTGCTCTTCTGAATTCCTCATCTCCACTGCGATCCCTCCTGGGTGGAATGCAAAAGGCGGGCCGTGGCTGCCCTGGGTCTGGAGGGGGAGAGAAAGGGGGATTACTGGAGGAGCTAATGAGAAGGGCAGGGGGGAAGAAAGGCAGGGAGAAAACTTTAAAGTTAGAAGAGATAAATAAAATAAATAAAATTAGGAAGGCCCTCTCATGAAAGGTGAGTTTCCATGGACTTTTGTAAAGTCCCCACCTTCCATGGGGAAATGTCTTGAGGCAAGGACCACACTTAAAAATTTCTTTCTGAGGGGCACAGGGACACGATAGGTGATGACACATCACTACAGCAAAAAGGTCCGAGATGTAACCTTAGTTGGGAGAAGAGTTTAAAGGACAAATGGCTGCCCTAAGCTTAAAGGCCTAATTTTGCCCTGCCTTTGACTTTCAAGACCAAAAGTATCGGGCTGAAAAGGTTGGTGCTCTCCATCCAGGGGTGATCTCTGGGCTTCAAAAAGAAGCTGATGGTTGGATAAAGCATCTGGGATGCCCATTCTGGCATCAACCAGGCATGGTCTAGATGAGTTGGAGTGCAGCTCCCAGACTTCCTACTCCATAGGCTCGTGCACTGTGCTGGATGGAGTAAAATGTATGAGAAGAAAGCTTCTCAAGTCACCATTCGTGGAAGGAACTTTTTGTAGTTGCTCAACAGTTAAGGCTTTCATTTACACAATCTCGTCCCAAAATATGAATATGTGTAAATGGTGGGCAGTTGCCATGGATGGAAAAGGACAAACAATCTCTGAAGGCAAAAACACCACTTACTTGTATTGGTGGACTCAGAAGCCGTTCTGAAACATGAGGAGGAGCTGGCTCTTTTTGGCAAAGCAGGAATAGGGGTATATATAGTCACGATCCTGTTTTGATTGGAGTTACTCAATTAATTCTTCACTCTTTAGAAAGATCTGAAAACAGGAAAAGGTGAAAATTAAAATTCTATATATAAATGTATGTGTGTATGTGTGTGTGCTTGTATATCCCCAATAACAAGTTTCTTTTCTTAATTTTGAGCAAAAAGCTGGCTATGTTGTGCCTTGGGACACCACAACATATATTAAATCTTTAATACCTGAGAAATATCCTTTTATTTCAATACACAAACACACACACACACACACACGATTATGGAATCTTCCAAGGTTTTAGTGTTCTTGCCTGAGAATTTTCAGAGTGTCTAGTAAAAGCATCAAAGGTCTTAGAGGTGAAATGGATGCCATTTTTTATCATATTTTTATTGCCTACCTCTGCAAAAGTTTTCAGACTTGGATCTACCTCTTAAGAATCTGAAATACCCAGATTAGAAAGAATTCTAGGAACAGGCAATAATACAGATGAGACTAGTAAGCATAATGTACTGAGAGAGACTGTAAGGAATAATATCTGCTGAAAGGGAAATATTCACAATATTTCTAATATGCAAAGAATACTGTATGGCAGTGACTATAATAATTAGAGTACCAAGACATGAAGACCCAGATTAAAATCCATGTGCATGCCTGATGTCTTGAGGGTCACTTGAGACTAATTAATTCCTTTCTTAATAAATATATTTTGAAGTGTTAATGAACATGCAAAACTGGAGAAATGAGGAAACATGTCTCCTTAATTCCTTGGAAAAGGAATGGAGTAAATTTAACACAAAAAAAATCAAGCCAATGTAATGTTTAAAATATGCACACACTGGTTTGAATTAGGAACTAAAAACCATACAAACAACCATGTTTATGGCTCGGTATTCTCAATGGTTTACTGTAAAGTAGAGAAAGTAGATTTAAATGGATTGAAGACCTGAAACTTTAAATTTAAGCAAAATTATAGCTGTTGGTTGGGTTGGGTGAATTAGGAGAATAGTGAATAAAGTTGTGGAATGTTTTTAGAAAGCAGCAAAGAGATGTAGTGATAACAATGGACATTTTATCTAGACTAGGGAGCTTAACTATGATTAAAACTATATACAAATGACTGTAGAATTCATGTGACCAAAGATAGGAGGACAATGAGAGATAACTCATATCTTTTTTTCTGACTGGTTCCTAAGAGAGCTACTAAAGGATAGCCACACGTCCACCCTTCCTCCTCAAAGGGCTAGGAAAGGACAGGAATGGTAGCATAGTTGGGTCCAGACATCACAAAATTGAGAAAAATGTTTTTAAAAACACAGCAAAGTAGAACCTAAGCCACCAGTCTCCCCCCTCCCCCCCCTCCAATACTCTACAATTCCTGAAAATTATTCCTAGGACTTGTCCTAATCAGTAACAATAAAACAATAGCAAAAGGAGTAAAAAGTATGAAAAAGAGGAGATAAAAAATTCCAACTGAAACATGAGGATAAAAAATTTAACATATCAGAAGATAATTTGCTTGTAAGAAAGCTGGAAATATTTAAGGCTGCAGCAGGATCAGCTTAGCAAACAGCCAAGATAGGCCTTCAGAAAGGAAGCTCAGATATTGGTGGCTTTAAAAGTACTTATTCAGAATCTGAAAAGGAGTGATCGGGTTCCCATGGAGAGTCAGCTTGCTTCTATCCTAATCCACAACTAATGAGGATTCCACACTCTTCATTTTGCCCTAGAAGATCCAGCAGTATCTTGAGATTGCAGTTGTTTCAACAAGACAGGCCATACTCCACATAACTATCTGCAGCATTCTGGATCTGCTGAAGAGTCCTCAGAATTTCTTCTGATGTATCGGTAGCATCTGTCATCTTTGTTGGTCAATGATTGACATCTGTCATCTTAGCCAAATCTGAAATTAGGCAAACCCTTGTCTAACCATTGCCACCATACTGACATCCACAGTTCATGATCCCTATTTCTAAAACCTACACATTCTAGGGTGGTGTTTCTCAACCATGGCAATTTTAAGAAGTGTGGACTTCAACTCCCAGAATTCCACCAGGTAGCAAAAATTCCCCAACTTTGTGGAATTTTGGGAGTTGAAGTCCATACCTTTTAAACTTGCTAAGGTTGAGAAACACTATTCTAGGGAAATGGAACCAAACCCAAGGCAGACTGAGCCTGTATTGTGAAACCGCTAATTCTATTAACAAGTGGCTCTCTGTTTTTAATTAAATTGAGCTTCATTTTGTTTCAAAGTTCTAGTCAAATTTAGAATAGAATAGAGCTGGGAGGAACCTTGGAGGTCTTCTAGTCCAGCCCCTGCTCAAGCAGGAGAAGCTATACCATCTCAGACAAGTGACTGTCCAGTCTCTTCTTAAAAACCTCCAGTGATGGAGGACCCACGATTTCTGAAGGCAAGCTGTTCCACTGGTTAATTGTCCTCACTGTTAGGAACTTAATTCCAGGCTGCTTCTATATTTGATCAGTTTCCAACCATTGTTTCTTGTCTTGCCCTCTGGTGTTTGGAGGATAGTTTGACCCCTTCTTTTTTGTGACAGCCCCTCAAATACTGGAATACTGCTATCATGTCACCCGTTTCTTCTTTTCTTTAGACTAGCCAAATCCAAATCCTGCAGCCGTTCTTCATATGTTTTAGTCCAGGCCTTGGATCATCTTAGTTGCTCTTTGCTGAACTTTTTCCAAGGTCTCAACATCTTTTTTGTAGTATGGTGACCAAAATTGGCTGCAGTATTCCAGGTGTGGTCTTACTAGGGTTTTATAAAGCGGTACTAATACTCCATGTGATCTTGATTCTATGCCTCTGTTTATACAACCCAGGATTGTATTAGCTTTTTGGGCAGCTGCTACACACTGCTGGCTCATAGTCAAGTGATCGTCCATCAGGACTCCAAAGTCCCTCTCACAGTTACTGTTTTTGAACCAGGTCTCACCCAATCTGTACTTATATCATTGGTTTTTCCTTCCTAAATGTAAAACTTTCCTTTTCTCCACATTAAAACTCATTTTGTTGGATAGGGCCCATTGTTCCAGTTTGTCAATATCTTTTTGGATCCTGAGTTTGTCTTCTGGGGTGTTGGCTACTCCTGCCAGTTTAGTGTCATCTGCAAATTTGATGAGTTCCCCTTCTATTCCCTCATCTAAGTCATTGAGAAGATATTGAAGAGTACTGGGCCTAAGATGGAGCCTTGTGGTACCCCACTGCTTACTTCTCTCCATGTGGATGTACTACCATTGAGGACTACTTGCTGAGTATGGTTTGCTAGCCAGCTACAGATCCATCTGGTGGTGATGTTTTTTCTATTCTGCCTTTTTCTAGCTTACCAAATAAATCAACAGCTTCTCAGAAACTGGATAGAAAAGAAAGTCTGTCCTTTTCATTAGATGATTTTGGGCAATCAGTCTCTTTTGACCCTACCTACCTCAGAGTTGTTGTTGCCCTAGGGAAAAACAGCAGGAGAGGGAATAATACATATATAATATGTGACCTTGAACTCCTAATGAAAGGCATGGTATAAGTCTAATAAATGCACTAGGTAATTTCTCTAAGCTGTTTAGCAGCAGTTAAATAACTCAAGAGATTGACTGGACCTTTTGGCATATCATACTGAAGAGCCATGTTACCAAACAGAAATCTCACAATAATAAAGATCCAGAATAGAAGTTCCCTTCACCTGATGGTAAGGTCCTTTGAACTAATTATGGTTTCCAAGTCAACACAAATACTGGAAAATACTTCACAGACTAGTCTCAACATGTTAATGGTCCTTCTTTCTGTTTCATGGGTCAATCCTGGACCATGAGATCGTTCAATATCATTGAGTGAAAACATGATTGTGGCAAAACAAGTCATAGTTCTTTGTGGTCACCAACACAATGGAACTGGGCTGATCACATACTCTAGCATGAGCTTGACTGACTTCAACTCAAGTGATTATCTAAGTCATAATCACTCTTATATCATCATTCCTCAGAGGTTCAGACAACCTATTTGACTCTCCAAAAGGGGGAGGGTTGCTTAGATAGGACCACATTAACTGTCAGGGTCATGTTTCTATTCTAACACTAGACTGAAGCTTCAACCAAAATTGCTTATGAAGGGGAAAAGAACATTTACAAGACCTTCAGGAAATCATGAAGATAGCAATAAAGTTCTGAAGA